CAGACTGTAACAACATAGGTGGGAGGGGTCGATAGCTGCTATGGACAAATCTCTCAAGAGATACGTGAGTCCTTTCCTGAGGACTCAATATCTATCTCCAGGATTCTACATAGGTTTCATATAACCTAATAGCTATATAGTTTATGCAACTAACTAGCTAAAAATTTATCCAAATAGAGTGCCCCATTTATAGTTAGATCAGTTTATAGCTCCAGAGAGTCAACACTCTAGCAAGCATATACCAATGTCCTACATGCTAATGCTGGTTGTTACTGTACTGCTTCTGTCCTCCTCGGAGAACTTTTAATGTGCTGGCATGACAGGCATATGGGCAGAGAGAGAGAAAAGAAGAGAGAGAGAGAGAGAGAGAGAGAGAAGTTTTTACAGTCATCAAATTGATGCCCACTCATAGCGACTCTACAGGACAGGGTAGAACTGCTCCTATGACTTTCTGAGACTGGAACTGTTTTGGGAATAGAAAGCCCCTTCTTTTTCCCTAGGAGGTTTCGAACTGCAGACCTTGAGGATCACTGTTCGAAGGGTGACCACTATGCTACCAGGGCTCCTAGAGAAAGAAAGAGGATTTTAAAATCAGGAGCAGAGAGGAAACCAAAGATCACTGGGTATGAACTGTATGTGCCCAACAGCGTAAGTGATGTCCTCATCTGGGCAGGGACAGGGTGTGACTCAGGGATGCAGTCCAGGCCCCTGGACCAGCTCGGGCCTCCAGCTCTGTAAGATTGTCAGGAAGAAGGAGCTTGGCAGCGGCATCCACACTTTACATTTCTCTCTTCAGGTCCCTGCCTGGGGCAAATGGTCAACAGACTTGGCTTCTAACCAAAAGGTTGGAGGTTCAGGTGCAACCACAGCCTCCTTGGGAGAAAGGCCTGACAACCTATTTATGAAAAACCAGTCATTAAAAGACCCATGAAGAATAGTTCTCCTTATCAAAAGATATAGCATCTAGGCTTGAAGATAAACCCCTGGGGCCCAGTGGTGAGAGTGGCGATACCAGGAGGGTGGAGGGAAGGTGGGTTGGAAAGGGGGAACCGATGACAAGGATCTACATATAACTTCCTCCCTGGGAGACGGACAACAGAAAGGTGGGTCAAGGGAGACATCAGGCAGTGTAAGATATGACAAAATAATAATAATTTGTAAATTATGAAGGGTTTATGAGGGAGGGTAAAAAATGAGGAGCTGGTACCAAGGGCCCAAGCAGAAAGCAAATGTTTTGAAAATGATGAGGGCAACAAATGTACAAATGTGCTTGACACGATGGATGGATGCGTGGATTGTGATAAGAGTTGTAAGAGCCACTAAAATGATTTTTAAAAAGAACAGTTCTCCGTTGACACCGGTAGGGTCACCATGACTAGGATCTGACGCAATAGCTGCTACAGTCTGTTCACTGGTTTCCGTTTCGTCAGCGCCGAGGTTGCTCACAGGAGGCCGATGATTAGCTAGGTTATTACATGTCGTCTTGTAAGCACGAATCTACTTCACAATTACTCATAGGACATGCACATGTATTTTTCTCCTAATCAGAGATAAGGTTGAGGATGCTCCTACTAACTCAGATGCCCTTCAGAAGGCACACCGACTCTGAGAATTGTTCCTCGTTGACTCTAGGACACAAGGTATCTGGGTCTTTGGGGAAAGCAGCTCTGAAGAAAGACTGGAAGGAGGCAACAGTAAAATGTCTTCTTTCAACGTTTGACGTCATGGTCACCTTTGATTCAGGGCAGGGGGGTGGGGATTATACCTCCTTCTGTTGCTCCTCTCCTCCCTCCACACCCTATTTTCAGGCCCAAAGACATGTGAACATGATTTCTAGATGTACTCAGGTATTTTCCAACCTGTGTGTGAATCTTAATGCTCCACAGAAAAATCACTGGCAAGATTTTCACCAATCAGATTAAATGATAGGCACGAGGCTATAGATCTAATTTATTTGGCAGAGAACTAAAACAAACAAGCAAAACGTGTGGAATAAGTGGTTGTAATGGATACAAGGAGAGAGACTTGTGATTCCCAGCATCTTGAGAAGCTAGAGGCAGAGGAAATCACTTCACATTTAAACCCCTGAGTGAAAAGTCCCAAGAGTAAAGGTTCAAACCGCATAGGATGATCGCTGTCTGTTTCTCCTTTGCTTCTGGTTGTAGAGAGCTTTAGGTGTCAGGAAATAGCGGGGGGATTTGGGGAGGTGTGGGGTGTGGGCTGTACCAGGGGACACTGTCAGAGAGACATCAAAATGAATTGCTATCTGTCTGTGGTTAAGCGTTGGGCTGCTGACCACAAGTTCAGCAGTTTGAAACCACCCACCACTCCTCAGGAGGGGACTCTCTACACCTGTCAAGAGTTATAGTCTCGGCAACCCACAGGCCTGGTTCTTTAGGATTGCTATATATCCACAGGACTCGGCCATGAGTGTGAGTTTTGAGTGTTTCAACAGAAATGTCACTATATGTTAATAAAATAATCATTGCCGTGTGAGTGTTGAGTGTTTCAATGGAAATATGTTAATAGAAGTATCCTTGCAGTGGGAGTTTTCAAGATTTCAACAAAATGTCACTAAATATTAAATAAAAGTATCTTTGCAGCTAGTGAGATCCCCAAAGAATTTTTGTAAGCCAAACTTAATATAGTTTAACATACTCTGTACATAGTTAAAACCATGCTATTGTACCTCCTGAAACCGAAGGCGCTCCAGGGAGAGTCTCCCATGCACAGGGTTCGTCTGCCACAGGCTACACCATCGTACTGTTGGCCAGTGTTTGTCTGGTCGCTGACTTTGTCTGACTTCCTGAGCTTTGGCTACAATATTGTAGGAATGAGTATGTGTGAGCCTGTACTAATTCTCTTCCTTCCTTTTTTTTTTTTTAAATGAAGTGGTAAAAGAAAACCAAGGAGTGAAAAACTAACCATTCCTTGATGGATACATGTCATGAATGTGCCTCGGGGAACAGATTGGAAGTTTCGGAATGGGAGCGGAATATCCTCCCAGACACGATGTACTTCAGAGCGTTGCCAAACCAAGGATAAAAAAACCCATGAATGAGGGGATTGAACGTGGAGTTGAAGTACCCGAGCCACACGAGAACATCAAGGACCACCATGGGGGTGGAGTAGCCCAGATACGGGTCAATCAGAACTGCAAGGAAGCAAGGCAGCCAGCACGCTAAAAACACCCCCATGATGATCCCCAGTGTCTTCGCGGCCTTCCGGTCCTTTTTCTTGGATAGGTTTTTCCTCATGTCGCCCTTGGTGTTTTCAGGCATGTTGCTGATGACCCGTGCATGTCGCTTGGAAACGATGAAGATTTTGCCATAAATGCCCACCATGATAGAGCCAGGAGTGAAGAAACACGGAGTGAACAATACCGTGCCCCAAAACTTGTTGAAGGTAAGTGCACAGAATTTGAAGCACGCCACGAGAACCTCGTAGCCCTGCATGCCGGCCACGTTGGCCTCGGACAGCACTAATCCGAAGGAGAAGCAAGCGGGCGCTGACCAGCAAAAGGCCAGCAGTCGCTTTATCGTGGAGGTGGTCATGGTGGTGGTGTAGTGTAAAGGGTGGCACACCGCGTAAAATCGATCGATTGCGATGGAACAGAGGTGGAAAATGGAGGTGAGGCTTAGCATCATGTCAAAGCTTGCGTGGAATTTGCAAAAGCCATCTCCAAAAGGCCAGCAGCTCTCCACGGACCGCACCATGTTGTACGGCATAATGACCAAACCCAGCAGGAAGTCCGTGGTGGCCATGGAGAGGATCAGAAAGTTTGTGGGAGAGTGCAGCTGTTTGAAATGAGCTATGGAGATTATGATCACCAAGTTCCCCAGGATGGTGATCATCATGGCTGTAGCCATGACAGAATACATTACCAGCCGGGTGTGCAAAGCGCGGTTGGTGGGAGGACAGGATTTGTTTCCAAATTTTGGACAACTGGATAGGTCTGTGGGAATGGACGTTATATCCATGGCGCTGGATGGCTTCCAAGTCCTCACCACAACGATGATCCGGTCCTTCTCGTCTTAAAATGGCTCCGGTTTATTTCCTTTCCTGACGGAACAAGGAAGTTCAGCGTCACCGGTTACTGGGCCACTTCTGTTTTAATTCATTTCAGCCGTTTAAATGATGCATCCTTTGGATTTGCTCTCCGGATTGTCTCACTAGATCCGGGGAAAGGAAGATGTTTCACTTCTCATTCTCTCTTGCCCTCTTTTATTTAGCCTATTGCGTCCACCCACACACCCACTAAATCAGGATAGGTTTGTCTATGGGCTGCTTTCATCCTAGTGATTTATTAGAAGCTTAGGAGTGTTCCAAAACCATGGGTTGTTTTTTTTTTTATTAAAACCCACGAACGCAGGGGTTGAAAGTAGAGTGAGAAGTCTTCAAGGGACCCCAGACAATCAAGCTCTGTTATGGGAGAGGAGTCAAGGGTTCATCTTAACTAGCCACTTTCCTAAAAATCCCTCTGGACTACATCAAGCGAACGTGACTTTCACCATGAAAATATTTAAGGCACAAAAGTTAAGTGAAATCATAATATTTCCCTCTGTCTGTTCTTTCAACATTTTAAACCTTCATTTTAAAAATCCCAGCAGGTGTCTTAAGAATGTCCTGCTATCAAAATAAACCCACTCATCACTTATCAGCTATCCCTTTAACCAACATTTCACACTCGTTACACATTTGAAATTTTTATCAAGCAGCACTTCCAATGGTCTGAGCCCCAGATGAGACCAAGGCTGGGCTCAGGACACCCTCAATGCGCAACCCTGAATGATGTACCTGGCCACACAAGGGATGGTAGCTGCCTGGTACCAGCGTGCCCTTCTCCCTTTCCTCTGAGATCTTGGTCCTGTCATGGAGGGCAACGGTGGGGTGAGATGACTCAAAGTCTGGCAGACTGAGGGGGGCTGAGTGAGGCCTGCAAGTGGTCAGGAGGTCAGTGGGGGAAGCTGTGTAGTTGGGGAGAGGGAAAAAAACCCCACAGGATAGAGGATGAATGGGGACTCCTCCCAATGTGAGCAGTGGAAGGCAGCAGGCAACATCGGGCGGACTCTCCCACTCTAACTCCTAATAGCTCCCCTGTGGTGGGGAAAAGGAGTCTGCTGCACTGTGTATACTCAGATGCCACAGGGGCGCCTGACTGATGGTGAGCGGAGGTGGTGGTGACACTGGTGCCAAAAATAGGGCTTACCCTCTGACTCTCACATAATGCCATTTCCACATAATGAGCTGGTCTTTGGACCGGGTTCATGTTGATCATTGAGGAGCAAGTGCACATATACAGAAAGCCAAATATCTCCGTGCTGCTAAACCATGAGCCCCATAGTTCTGTACCTCGTCCTTTCTTCTTCTCTGCTACCCTCTTCTGTCTTCTTCCTCATTCTACCTAAAAAGTCATGTCATGTGTTGCATCTCTGAATAGCCTATAAAGATCAAAACCCTATTCCTTCTTTTTTTAAAAATCATTTTATTGGGGGCTCGTATAACTCTTATCACAATCCATACATCCATCCATGTGTCAAGCACATTTGTACATTTGTTGCCATCATCACTCTCAAAACATTTGCTTTCTGCTTGAGCCCTTGGTATCAGCTCCTCATTTTTGTCCCCTCACTACCTGCTCCCCCTTCCTCATAAACTCTTCATAATTTATAAATTATTATTATTTTGTCATGTCTTACACTATCCGATATCTCCCTTCACTCACTTTCTGTTTTCTGTCCCCCAGGGAGGAGGTTATATGTAGATCCTTGTGATCGGTTCACCCTTTCTATCCCACCTTTCCTCCACCCTCCCAGTATTGCCACTCTCACCACTGGTCCTGAAGGGATCATCTGTCCTGGATTCCCTGTGTTTCCAGTTCCTAT